ATACCGAAGACCGACTAATTGTTGACAGAGTAGCTTGAAGAATTGAAATTGAATCTTATCGTTAGCATAGTTACACATGAAACCATAGTTAATTACAAGTCATGTTTCAATAGCTTAGCATTATCAATATTGCTCCTATCGAACTCTGTAAAAAGGAAATTTGAAGAGCAAACATAGCCTATAATTTTAAACAATCATTTCTTCGGTATTGTTCTGTTATTTCCTAAACTTAGGTTATATCGCTGGAAGGATGGACAGATATCATGTACTATGTGCAGGATGCCCATTCTTTCTGGAACTGGATATATTTTGTGTTACTCATAGTTGTAAGCAACATTCAGAAAGATTTTCTTTATGAGCATATTTTGGGAAAGAAATAATTATGTGTTTTAGATAGGTGCTTTCTTCATGATCAACTTGTGCCTTGTTGTAATTGCAACGCAATTTGCTGAAACTAAACGTCGAGAGACCGAACGAATGCTACAAGAGCGAAAACGCTTGCAAAGTCGTAGCCCTGACTCCATCTGTGAGTTTTTATAGGATGGCATGTGAGAGTTGAATAGACTCTGAAAATTGGCAAGGGATTTCAGCTGGAAGCGGAAGTGAACTCGGTGGCACTTCATCCAAAGAAGATAATGGCGACACTGTCTATGCGGCCATTGTGCGTTTTATAGGACATACGTTCAGAAGGACGAAACGTCATGTTAAAAGGGTCAGCTAAGCGTTTTTTTCAATACCAATAATAATGAGCAAGATCATGATTTTAAAAAATTCAAAGTTAGCTATGACATGGATTTACAGAGGTTCAATGCATATATGCAGCAGAGACGAGAGAAGAAGAAGATCGAGGCGAAGAAACGACGGAAGTCTAAATTAGATGACATGGCAACACTATCGCGAATTGAGGAGCGCACCGACGAGGAAGAAGGTGAGATTGCCATCAATTTAGTTTACTAACTTTCATATGTCGTAGTTTACTCTCATTTCAAGCTTGCATGTCTTTTTCTCTTTAGCTTCAGTCTCGAGCATTCTGGTTAGAATCATTTTTTCAGCATCTCCTCTGCGTTTGGTCATTTTTTACAATCTTAAGCTCTTCTATCATATCTCATATGTTCAGAAGTTGATGTGACAACTGAAAGTACCGCAGTAGCGAGAAAACGATCACGAAAAGTAACTATCGACGATGAGCAAGACAAAATTGGAAATGGAAGCGCAGCAGGTTTATACTAGAGTTGACCTTCTCTTTAAATTTTTTAATTTCTTGTCTAGGTCATGCCAGTAATAATGTCGCGAGTGACGAAGTCTCTGGCAATGAAGATGAGTGGTCGGAAAACGAAGAAGTTAAGGTGATCAAATTCGCATGCTACTTGATACTCAAAGATGTTGCATTCTTCAGACTGGGAAGAAACAGCCACATCCACCGTCTAAATGGCGATGGTTTCGGGAAAAAGTTCGCCGTTTTGTCATTTGCGATCACTTCACACGAGGAATTCTTGTGGCTATCTTGGTTAACACGCTAAGTATGGGGGTGGAGTATCATCAACAGGTTAAGCTCAGAATCTTTAGAAGGTTAACTTGTATATTAAATCTGTCGCATTTTAGCCAGAATTTCTAACTGTTATCCTCGAATACTCCAATTTATTTTTTACGGGTCTATTCGCATTTGAAATGTTTCTGAAAATTTTTGCTGATGGTTTATTTGGCTACCTATCTGATGGGTTTAATCTTTTCGACGGTGGCATTGTGGCGCTCAGGTATTCAAGCACATATCCTTGACTTTCAAATGCTCATGCTTTCAAAACTCAATAGTTACAGCGTTTTGGAGTTATTTCAAGAGGGAAAAGGTGGATTATCTGTCCTGCGCACGTTTCGTCTGTTACGAATTTTGAAGTTGGTACGCTTTATGCCAGCTCTTCGATATCAGCTCGTAGTTATGCTGCGAACCATGGACAACGTTACCGTATTCTTCGGTTTACTTGTGCTGTTTATATTCATTTTCAGGTAAGTAAAGTACAGTCTAGTGCACAGTGTGACTACGTTTCTTAGTATACTTTCTCACAAAACTCTTTTGAATGGATTTCGTCTTAACTCCAATTTCATTAACTGAAATGGACCCTATTTGGAAATTTTCTTTCTGGTTTTCCTCTCATCTAAACCTCCTTCAAGTCTTCCCAAATTAACCCTTCCAGTATACTTGGCATGAACTTATTCGGGTGCAAGTTCTGCAAGGTGGAGGAACGTTTAATGGGTGGGCCTGCGAAAAAATGTGAGCGAAAGAATTTCGATACCCTGCTTTGGGCTCTCATCACAGTGTTTCAAGTAAGTTTCTGGGCAAATTCTGATCAAACAGCTTTGTGGTCTTCTTGTTCTGCAGATCTGTGAATGTTTGTTGGAAACATACTAACTGCATGCACCTTATGCTAATCTTGACGTTGTCAACTTGTTGCTATTTGATCTGCAAAATGTGGAAAGAGGGAGGATTTATCCAGGATCGATAGAGATACTACATTTGAAAAATAAAGTGTAGTGTTTGTGATAGTTGGTGTGTTTTCAGTACTCTAGGAATGGTGCTTTTTGGTTGCAAATTTTGTAACCACCACGAAAGCGGTTTACGATGTTCGACACGGCAAATCTACGGTAATGAATGTGATTGTGATCGTACAAATTTCGACTCATTACTTCATGCGACGACCACAGTTTTTCAGGTAGGAAATAAGTGTGATTTTGCATAGATAATTAGGTTGATGCAATCAAGCGATGATTTTCTTGCTGGAGCTTTACTGCTGTGTTGTACCAAGATCATCATGCTTTATG